GGCTGGGGCGGGTAGGGCACTTGCCTTCCATACTGCCAACCTGGGTTTGATACCTGGCATCCCATGGGACCTCCCCAATAACCACAGGAGTTTTGGTTTTTTTTTTATTTTTTTGCTTTTTGGGTCACACCCAGCGATGCACAGGGGTTACTCCTGGTTCATGCACTCAGGAGTTACTCCTGGCGGTGCTCAGGGGACCATATGGGATGCTAGGAATCAAACCTGGGTCAGGCTGCATGCAAGGCAAACGCCCTACTGTGCTATCACTCCAGCTCCAACCACAGGAGTGTAGAGCATCCCCGGGTGTGACCAAAAAAAGCAAGCAAGCAAACAAACAAACAAACAAATCAGTCCAAATGAAACCCAAGCAAACAAAACCAGAAAGAGAAAAAGAGAGGTCTAGGATGGAGCTCAGTAGGAATCACACTTGCCTGGCTGTGTGGGTCCCTGGGTTCAATCCCTGGCCCTGCAGGATAAGCAGTGGAGACAAATAAGAGTGGAGGAAAATAGGAATCAGGGAAGCACAGTCTTAGCCCTCGGCTTCCGGCCTTGGAGGCAGCATCTGGCCCTTTGAAAAGGGCCGTGTCCAGGACAGGGACAGGCAGCAAGAGCCATCTGTCCCTGGAGGTGATGTCCATTTATGTATTCATCCATGACAGCTTACTTACCTCTTTTACTTGCCTCAGTCTTTTAATCCATATGATGGGTCCCCAACAAAATTGCTCAGGGTTGTTGAAGCATTAAATGACCTTATTTATGTACAGTACAAAGCATAATCTCTGACACATAGCAGGAGGGGAGGGTTCACCGCCGCCACTGTTTTTTTTTTTTTTCTGTTATATATTTCCAGGGCAGATACAGCCCGCTAACCCCCCCTCCCACCGTAGAGGTGGGTGGTAGTAGGTCACCCAGGGGTGCTGAGTTGGCCCCTGGGTCTAACCCTGGAATCCTGCTCGGTCAGCCATGGGGTGGCAGATGGACACCCCCCCCTCCCATTTAGTTTCTCTGCCCAGAGGCTGCCCCACCTATGGGAGCAGGAGGCGGGGTGGTCTCCTAGCTCAGATCCCCCAGGGTCTGTGGGAGGGGGGTTCAATATTGCCACCGGAAGGTGAAGCTGCAGGGCAGGGCCACGGAGTGACCGGGGGGGCCTTGGCTCTCACTGGCACATTCCAGGCTGCCGAGAGGGTGGCCAGGGGCCAGGGTGCCGGAGGGAAGGAGAGAGCCTTTTAAGGCAACATTTCTCTGCCTTAAAAAAAAATAATAATAATAAATAAATAAGGAGAGAGGCACGAAGGCCTGAAACACACGACCAAGTTGGTGGGCCGCCGGCCGCGGGCCTGGAATGTCCAGTGTGGGCGGTGGAGGGAAGGCCACTGGGGGCAGCAGGCATCCGGCCCTCTGGCAGGGGAGTAGAGGGGGGTGTTCCTGCACCCCTAAGAGCTAAGTTCGGGGGTGGGGATGTGCCTCAGGGGGTCCAGTTGACCTGTCAGGTCTCTGTCTCTGCCTTTGGGTTGTTTTGGAAATGGGACCCCTGGACCCCACTTGTCTCAGTGGACACCTGTTTATCCCCCCCCCCCCTCGCCTTAACATCTCCCTGGGCCCCAGATGGAGACTAAGACCCCACACTTGGGTTCCTGGAGGCCCAAAGGGTGGACAGGAGCTGCTGAAGCCCCTCCTACAGACTCAAACTCCCAGCCTAGCCCCAGCCCCACTGGCCTGTAGATGGTGGGGTGTGGGGAACCCGAGGCAATAGAGTGGGGGGCTGACAGGTGCAGAATGAGGGGCTCAGGGCTCTGGGTGCCCTGAGCAGATGGCAAGGACCAGTGCTGTGGGCAGGCTCATGCTGATGGGCCGCTCCCCGCTGGCTGGACCTCACTGGTGGACACTGTAAGCCGGAACCCCGACCGGTTATGGTCCTCTTGGGACTTCCTCTGCTCTCTTTTCTGGGCTCCCCCAGAGGCTTCTAAAACAGTTCCTCCAAGGCTGCTAGAGCCCCGCCAAGAGAGACCCTGAGCACTGCTGGGTATGCCCCCCCATCCCCACCCAGGAAAAGCAACAACCATGCCAACACAAAGCAAACCTCCAAACCCAAGCCCAAGAGACAGAAACAAAACCAGCCGCTCTTGCCCCCTGCTGCTATCTATCCAGAGCCCTCCTGAAACTTGGGACACCTCCCTCCCTCCTGCTGCCCCTGTTCTCTCCTCCACCATGTGGGGAGTGGGCAGTCTCTGCCTCCTTCTGAGTCTCCTGTGGGCGGGAATCAAACTGGCTAGAGGCCAATCCCTGACACCTGCAGCTGTGTGATCTGGGGCAAGCTGCTTAACCTCTCTGTGCCTTGACCCGCCGCTGTCGTCCAGTGTAGTCACAGAGGCTAAGCGGTGCTAATAGCTGCTGTCGTAGAGTGCACATTTAGGTGACTGGGTGGCTCCTTTCCCTGGCCTCTGTGCTCACTTTCTCCTGCCTGACGAGATTAAGGAACTCCAGTTCAAGCCCTGGCCCTGGTCTCTGTGTTAAGGGAAGGGTTGGAAAAGGAAGGGACGGGACAGTGAGCTGGGCCGGCTCAGACCCCAGGGGGCTGCCAACTACCAGCCTTGGGGCACCCCTTCACATGGGTGCATCCCCTCTGGTTGCTGGGGGTCCCTCAAACAGTCAGAAGACAGTTGGGAGAAGCCCTCAGTGAACTCCAGTGAGCTGGGCTAGAGGCAGCTCCAGTGTGGGGATGTGGCTGGGGTGAGGGTTGAGCCCCAGGGTTTCGCCACCCCGTTTTCTCCCCCTACTTTATTTATTTAAATTATTATTATTATTATTATTTGCTTTTTGGGTCACACCTGGCGATGCACAGGGGTTGCTCCTGGTTCTGCTCAGGGATTACTCCTGGCGGTGCTCAGGGGACCATATGGGAAGCTGGGAATTGAACCCGGGTCGGCTGCGTGCAAGGCAAACACCCTACCCGCTGTGCTATCGCTCCAGCCCCTAAATTAATTTTTAAAATTTTTTTGGGGGTCACACCCGGCAATGCACAGGGGTTATTCCTGGCTCATGCACTCAGGAATTACTCCTGGTGGTGCTTAGGGGACCATATGGGATGCTGGGAATCGAACCCGGGTCGGCTGCGTGCAAGGCAAATGCCCTACCTGCTGTGCTATCACTCCAGTCCCCAACCGCACACACACACTTTATTTAAACACCGTGGTTTACAAAGTTGGTTCATGGTCATTTGTTACCTGATTCTATATTCCAACCCCAGTCCTACCCCCACCGTCACCTTCCCGCCACCATTGTCCCCTTGTCCCCCACCAGTCCCCATGACTGTCTCCCTAGCAGGCGCCAAAAACTGTACTTATTTTTTTGGTTTTTTTTTTTGGGGGGGGGGAGCGGTCACACCCGGCGATGCTCAGGGGTTACTCCTGGCCCATGCACTCAGGAATTACCCCTGGCGGTGCTCAGGGAAACATATGGGATGCTGGGAATCGAACCCGGGTCGGCCGCATCCAAGGCAAATGCCCTACTCGCTGTATTATAGCTCCAGCCCGAAAAAATGTATCTTCTGTAGCTTATTTCCCCTACATGGCTCACGGAATGATCATAAAATATTTCAGTGAAAGAAAATTTGTGGAAAGTGTCATATCTTGCCGTGGGGACATTGCGTCCTTCCTTGTTGAAGGGTTTGCTCAGCTGCTGTCAATGTTTTTGTTCATCCAGCTTAGTTTGGCTTGGGCATCGCGTTCCCGTGTTGGACGGTGTGTGCTCCGACTGGGAGGTTTTAGTGTTGGAGAGTTTGGAGGCGTCGCATCCGCGTGTGCGGCCACCCCCTCTCTGACCCTCTGTGTCTGGTGCCCGAAGACCTGTCCCCCCTCTCCCCGCCGCCCCCAACCCCCCGCCTCCATGGGCCCCTGCCCGGTACTCAGGTCAGGAACTCGAGCCAAGGTCGAGGAATGAGCTCCAAGAAAAACATGTCCCAGCTAGAGAAAAGGAACACAGCGCGTCCCGATAAAAGTCTCTGCTAATTGTCGGGGCAGTGGCTTGGCTGCCTGGTCTGGTGGTGGTGGTGGTGGGGGGGGTGTTATCTCCATGTGGGGAGCGTTCCAGCCCACCCCCACCCCCTTCTGTCTGGAGACTTCATAGCCACGCACCCTCCCACTCGCCGTCAGAATAGATGAGGTCAATGACTCAAATACCAGCACCCTCACCCCACCCAGGGGGTTTGGGCTCCCCCAAGGCCTCCAAGATTTGGGGAACGGGGTGCTGATGTTGGTGGCTGGCCGGGACCCTCTGTGGCCTGTGGCCTGCCCCCGCCTTGCCCTGGGGAACCCGGCCAGCTGTCTACAGCGCATTGACCCTTGGTGAGCTACCTTGTCAGAACTGTGGGAGGCGGGAGCTTGGGTGTCGGTGGGGGACTGTTCCTTTTCTAGAGATCTGAGAGCATGAAGGAGAAATGTAAAATGCAGCTCACGGTCGCCTTGGAGGTTTAGGACTTGGTGGTAGTCAGGGGGAAGGGGGTGAACACTCACTGATCTCAACCCCTGACTCCCTGATTGGAATCTGGGGTGTCCGGCCTCCCATGTTTGCTTGCTGCCTTCTTCTTCTTCTTCTTTTTTTTTTTTTGACAGAATTTTAAAACGATGACGTACGTTTTCATATTTGCTGTCCGCCTCGGGCCTCAGTGCTATTGCCCAAGAGGCTCTCCCCGTGGGGGCTGGAGAGATAGCACAGCGGGTAGGGCGTTTGCCTTGCATGCAGCCAACCCGGGTTCGAATCCCTAATCCCATATGGTCCCCTGAGCACCGCCAGGCGTGAGTCCTGAGTGCGGAGCCAGGAGTAACCCTTGTGCATCGCCGGGTGTGACCCAAAAAGCAAAAAAAAAGAGGCTCTCCCCGTTGCTCCAGTCTTCCGAGGAACCCCCGAGACGGGGTCGGCGTGGGGGAGGCAGGGGAGGGGCGTCTGGCCTATGGGAGGGTGCTGATTTTTTCTCACCTTGTCCTTTGTCCATTCCTCTGCAGGTGGCTGCCCCCTGTGTCCCTCCGTCCAATCATGAACTGGTGGTAAGTGATGCCCCCCTCCCACCCCCTTGCCCCCTTCTTTGCTCGGCTGCAGTCGATTTGCTTCCTCTCTGAGCGTTTCTTGCTGCTGGGTCGGGGATTGAACCCGGCCCTCTGCTCACACACGCTGCACCCTGCGTGCTGGCAGGGCCCCGGGGTGCTGAGTGCTGAGGGGGAGGAAGTGAGTCATGAGGTCCCCTCTGATGAGATGCAGGGCCTCCTCGTTCCAACCTGGAGACCAGAGTCCTTGGACAACCATAAAAGGACATGTAGCACAGCTCCCGGCCTGGCCAGGCGCCTGCTGTCCCCAGGCCCACGGGATCAGGGGCAGGCGTCCCTTCCCACTGGCCAGGGCCCGCGGCACGCTCCCGGAGGCAGGGCAGAGTGTCCCGAGCCACGGAGCGTGTCCACCAGAGCAGAGGCGCACGTTCGAGTTTCCTGTCCCACTGTTTGGGCTGTTCTGCCCTTGCCCATGCTTCCTCAAAGGGGGGGATTTCAGACTAGTGTTTTGGGGGCAGGACCCCTGTCTGATGCCAATGTGGGATGCTGGGAGCTTGTCCTGCTGCCCTCGCCTGGTCCTCACAGCCTTCCCAGGGCCTGCCCCCTTGCCCAGCCCACTGCCAGAGGGCAAGAGTCTGTGTGATGTGGGGGTGTCTGTGTGTGTTGGTGGGTAGAATCAGGGAAGGCTTCTTGAAAGAGGTGTCCTGGGATCCATTTGACTTCGGAGAGAACGGCGGCCTAGTTCCTGAGTCTAATGCAGTTTGCTAGGTTCCTCTGAGAAGCGTGAGTGGTGTGTGTGTGTGTGTGTGTGAGTGGGTATGCATGGATACATGTGTTTGTGTGTATATTAATGGTGTGTGTATGGGCCTGTATATGTGTGTACATGTATATTTGTATATGAGTGATAATAAGTATGTGTGTATATGTTTGCATGTGTATGATTGTTGTGTCTGTGTGTATGAGTGGTATGTGCACATGTGTATGAGTGGGTATATATGTGTGCATGTATATGTATATGTATGTGTGTATGAGTAGTATATGTGTTTGAGTGGTGTACATGTGTATGAATGTGTATGTGTGTATGTATATGTGTGAAGATGTGTGTTTATGTATGTTCTGTGTGTGTAAGTGATGTGTATGTACATATACATGTGTACTGTGTATATATGTCTGATGTGTATGTTTGTGTGTATATGTGTGTGAGTGGCGCGTGTTTATGTGTGTGAATGATGTATGTGTGTATGTGCATATATATGTATATGTGTGTATATGTGTGTAAGTGATGTGTATATGAGTGTATGTGTGCTTATATGTATATGTACATGTGTCGTGTATATATGTTCAGATGTGGGTACATGTGTGTGAGTATATAGTATATGTATATAGGTATGTGTATGTGTATATGTGTGTGATGTGTGTCCATACATGTGTATGTGTGTATATGTATATGAGTGATGTATGTGTGTGAATGATGTGTGTATATGTGTGTATATTGTATATATATGCATATGTGTCTATGTGTGTATATGAGTGTGAGTAGTGATGTGTATTGTGTATGTCATTGATGAGTGGAGATGTGTGCATATGTGTGTGTTTTGTGTGTGTGTGTGTGTGTATAGGGCATGACTGGTGCAGAGGTGCCTCTGGCACCCAAACGTCCTTGGGGGCCTGCAGAGGTGATGGGGGTGTCAGCGGCACACATGGTTGTAGGTGGTCTCTGCACGCCCACCCAGCACTGCTGGCGGTGCCTGTTCCTTCCCTGCAGAGGACACTTGCCGCCTGGCCCTGGCCAGTGCCGAGCTCCTGCGGGCCCTCAGTGCTCTTTATGTCCAGGAGAGGGGCTGAAGTTGTGTGTGGCAGCTATTTTCCCTCCCTGGGGGGTTCTGGGTCACTGCTGGCATGAAACCAGCCCCCAGAAGTGCCTGGCTGGGTGCAGCCCCGGAATGTGGGGCGCCCAGGGTTTCCCTCGCCCACCCTGGCCCGGTCATGCCCGCCTCTCCCCTGTCCCACGGGGCTCCAGTCCTGCTGGGCCTTGGCCCTGGCTGGCTGGGAGGGTCCAGATGGGAAGTGTTGTTCACACAGAGCCCCGGGAGTGATGGGGGTGGGGGATGCGACCGGATGAGGCCGGGGCGCGGGACCCTGTGAGGAGCTGCCAGGGAGAAACGATTCTGAGATTAAGGACAGTCACGGGGGCGTGGGGGTGGGGGCGGAGATGAGCCTCTGTCTCTTCATTCTGCCCCACTACCCCTCACCTGGGGGGAACGGCGTGTCCTTGGTGGGTCCGGGCCAGACTGGGGGGTCTGGCAGGTGGGTATCTCCAGGCTGGAGGCAGATGCCTGGCTGCGGGGAGGCGCAGGGGAGGGGATGAAAGGGAATAGGTTGGCATTCCAGCTGCAGGAGCTAGGGCTCCTCCCCAAGGCCCTGCGCCCCCCAGCGAGGGGCTGGAATGTTCTCGTGCCTCTGACATGCTCCATCTGCGCTGCTCTCCAGAGCCGGGCTCAGCACCCCCTGGGAGTGGGGGGCTGCAGTGACACAGTTAGAACTTGGCCTCTTTGCTCTTCTCCTTCCAGCCCTGCTGCAGTGGAGGGCCAGGAGGCAGGACTGGGGTCCTGGCTTCCATTTCTGTCACTGCACGGTCCCCGGAGCACTGGCACAGGAGTTACTCTGGAGCACTGAGCCAGGAGTAGCCTCTGAGCGTGGCCGGTGTGGGCCATTTAGGAATTAGACTTCTGGACTCAGCTCCCCAATCTCAGGGCTCTGTGGCCTGGGGCATGTGGGTTGACTTCTCTGGGCCTCAGTTTCCCCTCCTCAGGTGGGGAGTTAGCAGTAGGTAGTTTCCGCCCTGCAGGGCTGTCCCAAGACACACATTCATGAATGAATGAATCTGTCCCCAGACTCTTCCGGGGGAGGGTGGCTCTACTCGGTTGCTTTTTCTCCTTTGGCTTGTACATTTCTCACCCCCAGCAGACACAGGTTTTTCCTCTCTGACCTTCTCAAAGCTTTTTCCCTCCCCAGAACCTCCATGTCTGTCGTTTCTTGGTTCTTTACTGAGGCGCCGTGACTTCCAGAGTTACTCATGATTGGGTTTCTGGCCTGCCATGTCCCAATCCCTTCCTCAGTATCCACTTCCCTTCACCAGTGTCCTCAGGTTCCCCCCAAACCCCTCCCCCCCCGCCCCAGCCTGCCTCTAAGGCAACACCCCCCACCCCTTTTAGACACTGTGATGTGCCGACCTGCTACAGGGTTACATGCACAGAACACTTTACTGCCTTCCAGAATCTCTTCCAGTGCCTACTTCACACCTCCATTATCATAGTATCCCATTCCCTGTCCCATCCCTCCTTCCCCCATAGTGGCAAGATTCCTCCTGAAGATTAATTCTCATGGTCTCCATTTCTGCTGCCTTTAGCCACTCCTGGACTTTCTTGTTGGTCTTGAATACACTGGGCACTGAGCTGCCTCAGGGCCTTGGCACTGGCCATCGCCTTGTGTCTCAGATACTGTTACCTGCCATACCTATACCAGGAGATTCACCGTGTGCCTGTTTTCCCCAGTTTAGGAGCCCACCTCACCGCCCTGTGTAACAGTCGTGCTCCTGAGAGTTTCCTCTCTGGTGTGCCCAGGCAGTGGGCCTGCTGGCCACCAAGCAGGGGGTGCAGCATTCATTCATGCCCTTTGGGGAAGGCTGCAGAAAGGCACTCAGGAGCCCAGGACATGGCTCAAAGCACTGGATCTCATTGCCTGCTTTGCCTGTGGGTACCAGAAGTCCCTTAGGCACCCGTGCCGGAAGTTCTCTTGTGTCCCTGGGAATGTGAAAGTGGCCTGGGCCACAGGGAGAGAAAGTTTGGCTCCCCCTGCCCCGAGGGCTCTCACACCTGTTTCCTCAGGCCAGTGCACTGAGCAGGTTCCTAAGAGGGAGGAAAGGGTGGTGGTACTTTTCCTTCCTTTTCCATTCCGGCCTGCCCTCCCGCAGGGCTGGCCTCTCTGGCTCCCTGCCCCCTTGCTGGACTCCCACTGCGTGTCTGTCTGTCTGTCTGTCTGTCTGTCTGTCTGCCTGTGACCCCCCCTATCTGAGTTTGGTGGCAGTGATGAAACCCTCATCCGGGCACGAGATTCCTGCCCACCCGCTGAGCACAACACTTTCCGGCCCATGCCAGGCCAGTTAGGGTGAAGTGGCTTAATCTTCAACTCGTGTGTTTTCATCTTACTCAACAGCTGTTGCCCAAGGCCTAGGGTGGCAGGTTCCTCGGGTCACTCCCATCCTGTGGGGTCTGCTGGTGTGGGCAGGATGGAGAGGGCTGATGGCTGGCTTGCCGTGGACACTCCTGATCCCTGACAACGAGCTGAAGCAGCATTTCTTGTCCCCGGGAACATCCCTGTGGGAAGGACTTCTTCCCCGGGTGAGGGCCGGGTGGGGTGGCCTCGAGTTCCGGATATGCAGCCTGGCACCACTGCCCTGATGCAGGCCATGTCCCCACCCCCCCCATCTCTCTCCTCTTCCCCCCCCCCCCCCCGCCCGGCCAGGCCAAGCCCTGGGCAGCTCTCGAACAGTCCTTGGGAAGGCATGAAGGTCAGTGGGGGAGGGAGGCCCAGAGCAGTTGCACAGCCAGCAGGAAGAGTGAATCTCTGTGCTGAGCCCAGGTTAGCTCTGTAAGCTTTGCCCAAGTATACAGTGGGGCCAGGAGCCAGTACCGGGTTAAGGCACTTGCCTCACACACAGTCCACCCCAGTTCAATCCCTGGCACCCTGTAGGATTCTCCTGAACCACACCAGGAGTGAGCCCTGAGCACAGAGCCTGGAGTAAGCCCTGAGCATTGTCAGACAGATCATAGACCAAACTCCTCCCCTTTCAAAAATATAGCAGCTCTGTCACTGTCCTCCCGTTGTTCATCGATTTTCTCGAGCGGGCCCAGTAACATCTCCATTGTGAGACTTGGTTGTTACTGTGTTTGGCATATTACAACAGCTCACGCTAAGTGAAATGAGTCAGAAAGAGAGGGACA